ATCTTTCTCCAGCTCACCCTCTCACCCTCGCTCTAGCCTCCGCTACCGTCTCATCGTGGTAGTGCTCCGCGCGCATATAACCATGAGACCATATCATCACATCATAGGAAATTGAGGTCTGGAAGGTCACTCGCGCCAGTACATCAGCTCTACGCTCGTGGATCAAATCCCTAGCTCGTTGTCTGCACTCACTCGCCGTCAAGTCCTCGTCTACGTACGCTCGGAGAAGTACTGTCACAGTGTATCCTGTGCTTATCAGTTGCTCTTCTACACGCATCACCATGGCCGTCCTTCCCGGCATTCCCTAAGCTGCGACCTCGAAGAGAAATCTCGCGTCCTCTAGCCCCGCGTAATCGATCTCTGTCCGTCTCCTGCAGTACCTAATCAGATCGATAGGCCTCAAACAGTCCACCCAGCTCGTAACATCTATGATGTCGTCAAGCGTCTCTCTACTGGGCGGCCCCCACCTCACACAAATGGCGTAGTATACTTCCTTGAAGTGGGGCGCTAAGCCCTCCCAGAGCGCGTAAAGTGTGTGATCCACTGCTCTCCTCAAACGATCCACGCTCCCATAGGTCTGCCCTATCACGAAGGTAGGAACTCCGAATCGCCAATCCTTTCTCGGGTAGAGGGTCGGATGTAGTGGACCGTATACCCAGCAGTTCCTACTCGTTCTCCCTCCAGAGAGTCTTGCCAATTGCCTATTAACGATCACTCTGGCCAACAACTCGCTTCTCCACCAACTCCTGCTCGCCCCTGTGAGCGTTAGCCCTATCTCTAAATTGTGTGTTCTATCCGCTATTAGATGTTCGACCCCTTCTAGATCATGAGTCCTCTCGGGTCGTTCGTCTCGTAGTATCACTGTCCATAGGAAGAGCCCCTCTGCGAGCCATGTTCCCAAGTATCGTATCGGTACACGCCCTGCCTCTTCTAGTGGTATGTCGTATCCAACCGCCATCTCTCTGGGTCCCACAAGCTTCCTCACACTATACGATTCGAACTCTCGTGAGAAAACATAAGCTAACCAGGCCGCTGAATCACTCCTCATTTCTTCTCCTACTCTCAGTCAGCATCACTCTACTCCCTCCGATGCACCCCATCTCTTGACGTTGCTAACCCTTCTAACAACTCTCGCACTCAGGTCCAGTATGGTCGAATAGGTTCAGTCGCCAGGCTCACTCATCCGTCGCCCTGGTGCGCTCCTCTACCTCCTACGCCCGGACCGCTAATCCTATCCTGGGAAAATGGGCGTCTATAACGTCAATCTCCTCCTCGTCAACCTCACTCTCTGGGTCGACCCAGTCTGATTCCTACAGCTTCTCGTCGTACTCTCGCTCCCAACCCTCCTCGTCAAACTCGTCCTCGACGCGGTATGGCGCCTGTCCTATGGCCTGGTAGTATTCCGTCAACTGATGGCCGTATATCAGAGGTCGCCCGGGGTCCTCACTCCACCAGCTCCCCCAGTCGTCTGAGAAGAGCCGCCCGATGCAAGTCACGTACTCGGGGCCTGCTCGGAGCTCACGGTCTAGCCAATCCCAAACGCACGAAGACTGGGGTCACTCGTCGTCTATCGAGCGGATCAGCTCTATAAGCTGAGCCCTCTCGTCTCCCCAACGAGGCCCACCGGTCGCAAGCGAATAATAGATGTAGTCTAGGTCGGCAGGCCTTCTCGCCAGGATCTTGAGATCCTGATAGGCCAGGTATGTCTCGACCACTCCACCAATACCTCCAAAGACGCTCTCTACTACGAACGTCGTCCGCAGGCTCCTAACGCTGTACGGGAAAAACCTGTCTCGTGCTACCACCAGCTCGCCCGTGATATCAAGAGGAGGGCGTCCGTGAAATAGGGTTAACGGGTCGCTCGCGTCCTTCGTTCGGAAAGCAGCTACCTCTTCCCCTAGGTAGCGTAACGCCCTGCTAACTGCGTCACTAGTCCCTGTCGTCGCGAGGCCCACCACGGCCTCCCTGACCGCACCCGGTCCCAAATACAAGTAGGCTCTCACTACGCCCACTCCTTGCCCCGGCCGGTGCTCTCTGTACGTCCAAAGCCACACGTCCTCGGACAGGATTATGGACCTCCACGCAAACTGACCGTCAGCGTGTCGAATGCTGCGTCCGGGGATCGTGAGCTCGACCAGATCCTCCTCTATGAGTTCAGGGGGTTCTAAGTCTCAGTCAATGGTAGCCCCATAGACCTCTACTTGCACCCGCGGCCACATTCAACTGGCGGCTAGAGAGAATGCAGCAAGCGGAAGGTGTGGATTAATAACTGAAATTTCGCGTCGCTTGCCTCACGCCTTCGAGAACAAGCTAGTAGGTTCACCTGAAACCAGGTTACCGCAACATCTCTTTCCCTTCTCCTTCTAGGGAATTCTTTTATATTTTTCAATTATAAATTAAAAAAAATGTATTTAGTTAAGATAAAATTTCTTTCTTAGTTTATATATATTAAGGTTCAATACTTATATAAGTCCGCCGAGTTTGATGCTTTTTAGGGGTAGAAATAAAATTTGGGGATTTTACTAAAATTTCGGCAGCGTTTCGCCTCCCCCCGTTGGAATGGGGTTTGGGACTATTGTCCCTAGACAAATGCTACCTACCCAGAACTAAAGCCAAATGAAACAAGGGGAAAGTCACTGAAAGAAACAAATTTCTAACGTATTTATAATTAATTTCCCTAATCGCTTTCAATATATTTATATATATAAAAAATTAATAATTTAAATTAGGAAAATTTTCGAAATTTCGACAGCACTTTGCCTCCCCCCCCGTCGGGATAGGGTTTGGCCGAAGGCCTCAAAATACCGACGGTAGATGTTTAACAAGAAAGATTAAGAACTGAAGAAGTATCTCAATCTTTAGCTAATTTTCAAGTATTTTCTTTAATTATTTAAGATTTAATTCAATAAAATTCAGCAAATTGCCGAGAAATTTCGGCAGCACTTTGCTTCCCCCCGTTGGGATGGGGTTAAGCGAAGTATTTCCCAAATCACAAAGTCGAAATAAAGCCGTCTCCCCTTTCTTGAAGAATTTTAGATATTTATTTTGATTTTTAATCGATTTTTANAACTTGTACTGCCAGGTCCTCGTCTATGATGACAGTCTCACTGCCGTTATCAATCACAGCATCGAGTATCGCTCCATCGTTTATAATCGTCTCCACGGCCCCGCTACCAAGTATATAAAACATATCATCCCATCGAGAAGGACTGTCGTTATGCGATCCGCTCTGGCAGTCACCCCCGTTACCGCTACTGTAGAAGCTTCCGCTCTAGGGGCCCCCTGACCCTCCTCTGATAGAGGTATGCGAGTCTTCCGCGTAATCATCTGTAATTCATCACGAGCCGACTTCGATGCCGCCAGGTACTCCAGAATAGAGCACTGCATTGGTTGCCGAAGGGCCCGCCTCAGTGGCTCAACCGTGTCAATCTCGTCCAACGAACTCTTCATTAAGAACTTCTTCACTCCCCTCTTTCGCGGCGAAAGGATAACCTCCTCTTCATCGACCCGTTGTCCGTCCTTCTCCGTCATCACGTAATCCGTGTCATTCTTCTTCGGTGTAGACCCTCTTGCCGACTTGGTGGCTGCCACCCTTATGGGTGTGGTCGCGAGATCCCCCTCAAAGATTATCTTGATGCTCTGGCTCTTGACCGGCTCCATTCCTTTACTCGTCTTTATTCTCCTTGCTTCGACATTCTCCTTCATCGAAGGGAACATCGATACATCTCCCAGATCATCTGCCCACTTGACGTACTTGCGGTCGTCAARCACRACAAGTCCCTCATCTATTGCCCGTTTGAGGTCCGGGCAATCCCTCTTGATATGATCTTCTCCTCTACAGTAGACGCATGAGTTCCTGGGAGTAGATGGCCTGTCGTCTGCGCCTCTAGAGATCGATCTCCTGGCTGCCTTGGGGTCAGGCGACTTGGGATATGGTTCTGATGAGACGCCATATCCCCCTCTCTCATTCCGACCGCGCGAATCGTTGCGCCGGTCTCCTCCAGACCCTCCTTGCTCATACCGCCCTCGTGAATCATTCTGGCGGTCCCACGAGTCATATCGTCCTCGTGACTCATCGCGTCGGTCCCCTCGGTTGTACCACCCCCGCGACTCGTCACGCTGCTCTCTCGCATCTTCCCCACGCTCAAACCGTCTGCGCGACCCGTCTCGTCGTTCTCCGTCCCGATCTCCTCTCTCATATCTACTTCCTTTGTAGCCATCTCGACCCGACCTCTCGTATCTGTCGTCCCTATATCCATCTCGGTCCGATCTCTCGGATCTGTCGTCCCTACGTCGGCCCTGTTCTGTGTCCCATCGGCCGCGGGAGTCGCCTCTACCCCGATCGGCCTCATAGCGAGGGCTTCTCGGGTAATCATCTAGCCTCCTTGCTCGCACAAACAGCTCGCGTTCTCTGCGGTCTCGGTCTATCTCATCGTCCCTACGTCGCCATGATTCATCGTCTCTCTCTCTTCCCCTCGTACGATAATCAGTCAGCGTCCGAGGATTTCTATCCTCGACACTCTTCCAGGGATCGTTCTTCCTACGGAGCGAAGTGAATAGGGCCCTCCAGGTTTGTCCCGGTAGGCCGTGGCCCCTGTGGCGGTCACAATCTCTGTAACCTGTCTCGTTAATCCCTTCACC